AATAAAGACCTCGGTGAAGCTACTTACATATTGAGCATCAACATCTATAGAGATAGATCAAGACGCTTGATAAGTTTTTTCAATGAGTACATACCTTGACAATATTTTGAAGTAGTTCAAAATGGAACAGTCAAAGAAAGAGTTCTTACCTGTGTTACAAGGTGTGAAATTGAGTAAGACTCAAAGCCCGACCATGGCAGAAGATAGAAAGAGAATGAAAGTCATTCCCTATGCCTCAGTCATAGTTTCTATAAAGTATGCCATGCTGTGTACCAGATCTATTGTATGCCCTACATTGTGTTTAGCAAGGGAGTACAATAGTGATCTAGGAGTAGATCACCGGACAGTGGTCAAAATTATCCTTAGTGGAATAAGGATATCTTTCTCGATTATGGAGGTGACAAAAGGTTTGTCGTAAAGGGTTACGTTGATGCAAATTTTGACACTGATCCAGATGACTCTAAGTCTCAATCTGGATACATTTTGAAAGTGGGAGCAATTCGCTAGAGTAGCTCTGTGCATAGCATTGTTGACATAGAAATTTGCAGAATACATACGGATCTGAATGTGGCAGACCCGTAGACTAAACTTCTCTCACAAGCAAAACATGATCACACCTTAGTACTCTTTGGGTGTTAATCACATAGCAATGTGAACTAGATTATTGACTCTAGTAAACCCTTTGGGTGTTGGTCACATGACGATGTGAACTATGGGTGTTAATCACATGGTGATGTGAATTATTGAGGTTAAATCACATGGCAATGTGAACTAGATTATTGACTCTAGTGCAAGTGGAAGACTGAAGGAAATATGCCCTAGAGGCAATAATAAAGTTATTATTTATTTCCTTATTTCATGATAAATGTTTATTATTCATGCTAGAATTGTATTAACCGGAAACATGGTACATGTGTGAATACATAGACAAACAGAATGTCACTAGTATGTCTCTACTTGTCTAGCTCGTTGATCAAAGATGGTTATGTTTCCTAACCATAGACATGAGTTTTCATTTGATTAACGGTATCACATCATTAGGAGAATGATGTGATTGACTTGACCCATTCCGTTAGCTTAGCACTTGATCGTTTAGTATGTTGCTATTGCTTTCTTCATGACTTATACATGTTCCTATGACTATGAGATTATGCAACTCCCGTTTACCGGAGGAACACTTTGTGTGCTACCAAACGTCACAACGTAACTGGATGATTATAAAGGTGATCTACAGGTGTCTCCAAAGGTACTTGTTGGGTTGGCGTATTTCGAGATTAGGATTTGTCACTCCGATTGTCGGAGAGGTATCTCTGGGCCCACTCGGTAATGCACATCACTATAAGCCTTGCAAGCATTGTAACTAATGAGTTAGTTGCGGGATGATGTATTACGGAATGAGTAAAGAGACTTGCCGGTAACGAGATTGAACTAGGTATTGAGATACCAACAATCGAATCTCGGGCAAGTAACATACCGATGACAAAGGGAACAACATTTGTTGTTATGCGGTTTGACCGATAAAGATCTTCGTAGAATATGTATGACCATCCGGGTTCCGCTATTGGTTATTGACCGGAGACGTGTCTCGGTCATGTCTACATAGTTCTCGAACCCGTAGGGTCCGCACGCTTAAATTTCGATGATGGTTATATTATGAGTTTTTGTGTTTTGATGTATCGAAGGTAGTTCAGAGTCCCGGATGAGATCGGGGACATGACGAGGAGTCTCGAAATGGTCAAGACGTAAAGATCGATATATTGGACGACTATATTCGGACATCGGAAAGGATCCGAGTGATTCGGGTATTTTTCAGAGTACCGGAGAGTTACAGGAATTCGCCGGGGAGTAGATGGGCCTTATTGGGCTTTAGGGGAAAGAGAGAGGAGAGGTTGCACGCCCCTCCCCCCAAGGCCTAGTCCGAATTGGACTAGGAAGAGGGGTGGCGCCCCCTCCTTCCTTCTCTTCTCTTTTCCCTTTCCTTCTCTCCTACTCCTATTACTTGGAAGGGCTCCTAATTCTACTAGGAAAGGGGGAATCCTACTCCCGGTGGGAGTAGAACTCCCCTAAGGCACGCCATAGAGAGGGTCGGCCCTCTCCCTCCTCCACTCCTTTATATACAGGGAGAGGGGCACCTCTTGGAGACACAACAATTGATCTCTTGGATCTTTTAGCCGTGTGCGGTGCCCCTCTCCACCATAGTCCACCTCAATAATATTGTTGCAGTGCTTAGGCGAAGCCCTGCAACAATAGAACATCAACATCGTCACCACGCCGTCGTGCTGACAGAACTCTCCCTCAAAGCTCGGCTTGATCGGAGTTCGAGGGACGTCGTCGAGTTGAACTTGTGCAGAACTCAGAGGTGTCGTGCGTTCGGTACTTGATCGGTCGGATCGTGATGACGTACGACTACATCAACTGCATTGTACTAACGCTTCCGCTTTCGGTCTACGAGGGTACGTGGACACACTCTCCCCTCTCGTTGCTATGCATCACCATGATCTGCGTGTGCGCAGGAATTTTTTTGAAATTACTATGTTCCCCAACAAGAATCAAGCAACAACTTTTTAGCAGCACCTGGACACAAAATAACAAATCCTTGCACTCAACACGGACAAGGGGTTGTTAATCCCTTGGGGGTTAATTGCAAGCCTTGCAAATGCTGGAGAATGCTGGAGCATGTGTTGATATCATTGTGAGAACCAGCCATGCCGAAGAAAGAGTGTATTGTCCAAAGATTTTGCGAAGGCATCGCTTGTAGTATGACAGTGCAACCTTTCACATGACCCTTGTACTACCCCTGCCAAGAAGTTCTTTCAGTTCTAGTGCATACAATCTATGTTGCCAAGCATTCCTAGAAAAGTCTCTACCTGCATTGATTGCCAACAACTGGGTTGTATCTGCGACATTTGATTCTCTCGGATACTCAGGGCCAAACACTGCCACCACGCCTTGCAGAACATGTACATTCATTTGAGACATGTGGACTCACTTATGCGAACGTACTCATCCGCAAGATCACCAAGAATTCCTGTATATATAGTCATCTAATCCTTTCGGAATGTTTACTTTGGGACCATTTTTACCTCTTAATTATAGGTATGCAGGACATCATCTGCTTTTATTTTGCTATATAGATGAACTGTTGTCAGCCCCATAATATCCATCAGAATTAATGCTCCTCTTAGATAGCTTTCTTGGTAAACCTAACATGTCTGTTCACAAAGTATATTTAGGCACTAATAACCTGGATGATGATTTATGGCCGTCGGGTGCCACACACCCCTATATGAAAAGGCACTAAAAACATATTAGGAAAATTAAAAAATATATAAAATTTTGAGATATGAAACCTAAGTGTCGGTTGTACGCATGTGTTCAGTTTCGTGGGGAATGGGTGTGTGATAATGCCAGTAAAAAAGACAAAAAAATTCTATGTGTAGAAAAAGAAACTGAATGTAACGTATGCCAGACCTTAATTCCTACGCCGCAGATACCACGGGCACTCATTTCCCACGAAAATGAACACGGGTGTACAACGGGCACTCAGGTTTCATATCCCAAAATTTCAGAATTTTTTAAAATTTCCTGATATTTTTTAATGCTATTTTCATGTAGGGGTGTGTGGCACCCGAGAGATGCAATGCATTTTCCCCATTAACGGATAAGGATTTGTGGCTCTAGGGTGCCACACACCCCTATATGAAAAGGCATTAAAAAAACATATTAGGAAAATTCAAAAAAATCTGAAATTTTGAGATATGAAACCTGAGTGCCCGTTGTACACCCGTGTTCATTTTCGTGGAAAATGGGTGCCCGTGGTATTTTTTGTTCACCCTGAAATTGTGTATTCAAACTGTAGAGCACGTGTGATATCCTGGAAACAGCCTCCACAGCTCGGTCACATATTGTAGTTCTCACTTTGAAGTGGACACAACTACCTTCTAATGTCCTGTTGTTAGGTACCAAAGTTGGTCACGGGATGAGTTATATTCAATGCTTAGTTTCTTCCATAGATTAATCTTGAGTTCTCGTGTGATTTTATTCATGGGTTGTGACTCATAATATTTTGTATTGGATCAGTGTGTGAACTGAGAGGGAGACAAATCCTATGATGGTGAGTAGAGTTGTGTTACTACATTATAATTCCACATTTATTCCCTCTTAAGATTATAATTTGAACTAAAACCACGACAAGTACTTTGGAACGAAGGTAGTACGTAATATGATACTCGCTTCGTCCGAAAATACTTGTTATCAAAATGGACAAAAATGGATGTATCTAGAACTATCTTTTTATTCATTTTGATAACAAGTATTTCCAATACACGAATTCTACTTGTGGTAGAAGACGAAAACAAGTCAAGATGAGCCGGAGATAGTTAGCCAAATCTGCAAGGAAAAATGGACGGTAAGGAAGGAGCCACATCATACGAGCACGTACCACCACTCTCCTTGCTTTAAAACTAGTTCTAATTTGGCGAGGCATAATCAGCATAATCATTACCATACATCCAGGGGCTCCATCTACTAACTTTACCCCAAAAGCCATGGACAGGATGCGGTGCAAAGATTGAGCCATGTGATATGTGTGCAGCAAAGAGGGGAAAAGGACAATTCCGGAAGGAGGCCAACCACAAGCAGCGACAGCAGGCCTACCACTACCATACATGAGAATGGCAAGTTTGGAGCTGAAATCATGCCATCAATCATCTCATATCATACTATCATGCTTGCATAACAGATCGGGTGAAGAAGCAAATGCTAGCACAAGTACATACGCTCACCACATCACATGCCCGCTTGAAGGTTCCGATTCAATCGCATCACTCAACAACAATAGGACGATAATCGTCAGGAAAGAAAGAAAAACCTCAATTTGTCCTAGTAGCAAAAATCTGGCGGCGCGTTGGCCGCCAATCGCCGAATTAATAGGGTAGCAGCCAGCCTCTCCCCGCGAATCGCACGAAGAAGACGACTGGAAAGAATCCCCGGGGGAATTTTCAGCGGTGCGCCGTGACGAGCGTCTCGATGAAGCGCAGCCCGTCGAACCGCGGCGCGAACTTGTCGTCCCGGCCGCCGCTCCCCCCGCTCGACGCCGGGGATTCCTGCGGAAAGCAGAGCGCGTAAGAAGAGAGCAGTTTCAAATTTGAAGAAGCCGTCCGTCGTGATCCCAAATCAAAATCAAGACCGGATTGCTATCGTAGGAGGAGATTCTTCGGGAGGGAGGGGGGGATTGGGGGAGAAGGAGGAGGCCGTGATCCGTACCCGCTGGCGGAGGAGGAACTCGTCGCATCTGCCGACGGCGACGGCGACGGCGGCGGCGGGCTCCGTGGGGGCGCAGTCGCAGGCGAGGAGCTCGGCGACGGAGGCCACGGCGACGGCGGCCGCGGAGGCGACGGCGGCGGCGACGCCCCACATCATCGTCGATCCAGCAGCCGCTTTCCCCTCCTCCTGGCTGGTGGGGACGGGATTCTTTGCTTGGGCAGGGCAGGCTGGAATGGAGGTGACGGCTAGCCGCGTAGCATTTTTTATAGTCTGTCTGCGGCCGGACTTGAGCGCGGAATTTAACGGGATTGAAATGTTGGTGCCGTGTCCGGGAAAGGCCCGCGCGGCGCGGTCGACGCGGGCGGCGGCGGGAGAACGGACGGACGGACGGGGTGTGGATTTCGCTGGCGGATGGGCCCGCTTTGCCATTAGCGAGGTGTCCGGAAATTTTTGGCGCGTCGGTTGATAATCCGCGCTGAACAAACGCGCAGCACCGAGTCGGACGACGCGCTGGTCGGCGTGAGCGCGAGCCAGGAACAAGTCAGAGACGACGGCCAGACGGGGACTGCGGCGTCGCTACGCTGAGGCGAGGCAAAGGGTTGACGAGTGCGGGAGATGGTCGTCGGTGCCCGGGAGGGTGTGGAGATAGAGGGAAATTTTCTCATCTGTGTGATTAATAGCTTGCCCCTCTGTTGGATGGGCGTGTGGATGTCGCTGGTAACAAATTTGTAAGATGAAATGGACAAATTTAACGACAATATACTAAAGGGCCATCTACTCCTTTTTATAAATAAAATACAACTCTAGTCCTTGTAATCCTAGCTTTCTAAAGCACAAACAAGAATGAACCATGACATGGGGCCATACTTTTCAAAGTACAATCGCAATTTGCTCAAGGGAACACAAGTTCCCTTCTTTCTCGTTTAATATAGTTTATTCAAACCATTGCATGAGAATTGCATGCGAATATTATAGAAGAAAGAGATACAAAGTTTTACAAAACAAGGACGACCCAACAAGTAAAAAAGACAACATGGACAAAAGAAGGCGAAAAGCTAACACAAAAGCGACCCTATGCGAACAATGACCTCAGGCATTTAGCGCCGACTTTAGACCACTTGAGTGTGTCACATTTGGTTTTGTCTAAGATATAGTCAGTGGAGCTAGCTTTGTTATAAAAAAACCAGCTATTACGCCCGCCCCAAATTGTCCAAGCCACAAGACGGCCATGTTGTTTAACTTCTTTTTTTCAGTCGAAGGCACTCGTCCTAACCGTCATCCACCAGGATAAAATGGGAACTACGTACTGGAGTGGTATTAGGAAGGCCGATCTATTTCAAAGTTG